GATATTCATAGACATATACATCAGTTTTACAAGTGTGTATTGGTAATTTTTCCCAACAATACTTCATCATAAATTATTCATTATTATTATTAAGTGAGTGATGTTCAACAAGTTAAATATGCTGGAGATATGTCAGTTTCGTTAGACAACATCGCCGCACCCGCATGTAGGATTTTTATTCTATTTCGTACCATTTTGTTGATTGTGCAATTTTGGATAAAAAACTATATTATGCTTATGACTTCATTTTAATTGTTATACTTGGCAGTGTGATGTTTATATTTTTAGGTATCGTCTCTATTTGGCTTGGCGCCAAGAGAAAGGGTGATGGAAAATTCGTTTGTGCTACGACCAACAACATAGCTACAGAATTAAACACTACTATAAATAATACACTACTATTTAAATAACTATAAAGAAAAGCGTGGGTCCCTTCCTAAAAAAAAGTAAAGGTGTTCAATAAATAATATATTTTTAAATGTCTTAACGTATATATTCATATAAATCTGTCAATCGGCGTACATCTTAAAAACAATACACTCATTAATAAATTATAGCAGAAAACTGTTTTAGACAAAGGAATATGTTTTATTTCACCAGAACCGATTCTTACATCCACGTAGTCACACAAACGTATAAACACACACTTACGTATACATAACGCATACACCCACATTAACCCATAAACACACACTTACGTATACATAAGTAATCACGCACAAACCCATAATAACGCATACACTCACATTAACCCATAAACACACACTAACACATACACCAGCGCTTACATATACATCCACACTAACACATATACCCACACTAACACATACACCAGCACTAACACATACACCCACACAAAGGCACACATTACACCAACAAATACAAAACTTCAAACAACTGCAAGAACAATTTAAAAACTAAAACTAATCCCACGTTTTAATGGCAGCAACAGCTTAAATATTTACAAATAGTTCGTCTGAATAAAAAAATCAATAGAAATGTTGAAATGAAATTATTGATTCACTTCTTAACGAATTATATATACAAACTGGATTTATATCACAGTGCTTCTCTAACTAGATGGGAAGTAAATCCCAATGTAACTGTTAGGAAATGTTTGTAATAGGTATAAACATCTTCCACACACTTGTCTTCCCTAACTTTACAACGTACATTCGAATTTGTGTGTTTCTTTAATGTTTTGAGCAAAGCGAACTTCGTCTTCCACGACTCGAGATGAAACAATGTTTTATGTTTATTTTATGACAGAAAATTTGAGCATGTGCAATATTTTCTCATAAAAGCGTTCACTATGTTAATATTTTCAAAAGATACGTAACCCACCCACGGTCGATCTGACCCTAGACAAACAATAAACATTCATTGATCGTAAATATTTCAAAAGAACCTTATTTATGTTTAGAATATTCAATTTAATATAAGGAATTGAGGAGTAAATGTGTTGCAACTGATTTCCCCCAAAACTTTACATTTCATTTTGCACGCAAGCCATTCGAAGGAAATATTGGTCATGTTTAGCAATGTAAAATATCTTCTCTAATTTTGTGTTTTGCCTGGCTTAAAAATAAAAGAAAGTGTCGCATTTAATTTAATTACAAAATACTAAACAAGATAAAACAAACGCTAACTAAATGTTTTCTGCGAATTAACATGCTTAAATTACGATAAATCGTGTCGTTTCATTGTTTAATCAATTGCTAATTTTACATACGTACACGTAAAGGTATAAGTACACGTGAAATAATAGATGTAATGTCTGACACTAGAGTGTTCGACATAAATCTACGTTAAAATATTTGCAACAAGCGTTATAGCTCTTGATTTTGATCACTAACCTTCAAGGTGTATTCAGTATAAGCTAGCTAGCATACATATACTTATTTCATATTTTTATGTTCTGGTAGGACTATCTAATTTATCCTTGAAGAGTACTAGACGAGGCACGTTAATCTTAGTTCTATGTAAATTAGCATTGTGTTACAACTTTTTAACAATGTAAGGAGAGCAACGTCGATATAAAAAATTACCGAATTTATGCAACATTTTATGTATATATATATATATATATATATATATATATATATATATATATATATATATATATATATATATATATATATATATATAGTTAATAAAACAAGTATAAAAAACCTTAATAGCAACAAGCTTTTAAATGCACTGAAAATAAGAAAATAAAACTAATTTGCTTTCTTTCCCCTGAGTTTACTTTTATCTTTCCGTTTGAGGACAACGTTACGACTGAGTCTATTATTGATGCTAGTTGGTTATCCCGTCCCACACCTGAACTGGGACACAATGCATCCCCGTCCCGCCGCTAGTTGATATCTACCCCCCCCCCCCATCCTGTCCCACACCTGAACTGGGACAGCGTGTTTATGCCCCCCCCCCCCCCCCCCGACCCAACTAACCTGGTAGGCTCAATTGGGGAAACACATAATGAGATACCCTATTCTATTCGAGGCATAGACCCCAAGCTGGTGAGCGCCAGAAAGTTAGGACAGTTGAACGTTAGTCTTGCTAGCATGTAGTCGTGTTTTGTGCTTTGTAATGTTTGATAGGGCTGGCCCCTAAGGCCGGCTGCTATTATTGAACTAGTTTTGCTTCCTTTGACCATAGTAAGACTACCGTAAAGAGTGTAGTTTAATTATCTATTTAATTAAAGTTGTTTAGATGAAATTGTGTTGGTGTCTTCTTCAACAATCAAGTAATCTACTGTGTCTAATTCACCACACACTGTTTGACTTCTCACTGCAGTCATCACCACCATCAAAACAAACTATTCTGATCACACGTTTTGTAACAGACAAGCTAGGTGTATTATAGTCCTTCACAAAATTGAATCAGGCTTGTCGGCCAAGCGAGGTGCGATATGGCGTCCTGGGCTCTCCTGTGAGCACTACGGTGAAACGTTCGTTTTAAAGAATGCGATAGGTTGTGAATAAAAAGAGTTACTATAGTCGTACAGTAAATCGAACCCAGGGCATCCACTAGGTCTAGGTCTAGGTCTAGGTCTAGGTCTAGGTCTAGGTCTAGGTCTAGGTCTAGGTCTAGGTCTAGGTCTAGGTCTAGGTCTAGGTCTAGGTCTAGGTCTAGGTCTAGGTCTAGGTCTAGGTCTAGGTCTAGGTCTAGGTCTAGGTCTAGGTCTAGGTCTAGGTCTAGGTCTAGGTCTAGGTCTAGGTCTAGGTCTAGGTCTAGGTCTAGGTCTAGGTCTAGGTCTAGGTCTAGGTCTAGGTCTAGGTCTAGGTCTAGGTCTAGGTCTAGGTCTAGGTCTAGGTCTAGGTCTAGGTCTAGGTCTAGGTCTAGGTCTAGGTCTAGGTCTAGGTCTAGGTCTAGGTCTAGGTCTAGGTCTAGGTCTAGGTCTAGGTTTAGGTCTTGGTCTAGGTCTATTATAATGAATTTTTTAGTCAGTAAATTGACTGATAAATTTACATTTCCGTCTTTGAATGTTCAGACCCAGGAATTTATAACTTTACCTTACCCTTACCCTTACCCTTACCCTTACCCTTACCCTTACCCTTACCCTTACCCTTACCCTTACCCTTACCCTTACCCTTACCCTTACCCTTTCAACTTAAACTTGCCCTTTCTCTTTCCCTTTCCCTATACAAAAACCATTATCCTAAACGTAACCCCTCATCCTTTACGTGAGTGTTGATCTACATGCAGAATTTGAACTTGGTGAGAGGCAGGGAGGCTGAGAAACGACCAGTTGTAACTGTATGGTTTGGTTGATTATGTACTGAAATAGATTTAGACCTCGATTTTGCTTAGGCGTGTGTTTGAGCATTTGGATTTTTAAAGATCCACTTAATTAACAGCATGTAACGCGAGACGAGAGTTTGTCCTATGCCGTGAAGTTTACTTGCAATTCGAAATCAGTGACCTGTAATTAAAAATGTAAACGCCTAGTTTGGACTGGATTTCGGCCTTAAAATGCCAATGCACTTTTTGAGTTGTAGGTCTCCTTGTGTGTAGTAGCCGGATACATAAACGCGAGTCTAACATGGGAAGCGTGAACACCTGGTTTTGACTAAGGAGATACGCCCCGTTAGTTTGCGGGAGATGTGTAGAGGTACCGGCGTCTGCTACGTCTCTAGTCATTCGACACAACGGAACATAAACATTATTTTTACGTTCATTATTTTTACGTTGGGGTCGGCGTGGTCGAGTCGGTAAAGCTCATGGTTGCTAAACCGAAAAGTCTCAAGTTCGAACCCTCGGGCAGATGAGGCTCGTTAGCTGGGGACAAACCACTCTTCTAGGAGAGACAACTCCAAAATAAAAAAAATGCTGCCTTGTAGTTTGTTCTTGGTTGGACAAAGGCTATGAAATTGGAGTCAATGTCCTCAATGGCGCATAACCAGTTGACACGTAACGCTTAATTGTGATGGAAGCATGGTTGAGTCGCAAGGCTCGATCTCTTCCAACACTAAAAATTAAGAACGAAGAAGAAGAAGAAGAAGAAGAAGAGAAAAAAAAATATTCAAATATATTTTGGCATCAACCGGTTTACGATCTAGCTTGACATTTAAGACAAACTGTGACATACACTTGGTTAGGAAAACCACTCAGCAGGTTGGGACACATTCTAAAATGTATGCGTTGGCATGTTTATCGACACACAACAGGTTTTAAAGCAAAGGTTACATAAAACGTTAAAAGTATTGTTGAAGAAATGTCAATACATTAAAATGAATACAAGTTAGAGATACAATTTTGCTCTACTTTCAGGTTTTTATATTTAATGTTATAGATTTAATGTTATAGGCCTATATTTTATAGAAGTACTTTTTTGCACTTCATGATATAATTTAATGTTGTTCATCATATTCTAATGAAAAACACTAGAATCAATTTGCATTTTTACTTTTGTATAAAAGCAAACAATAAAAATTTATATAAGTGTTAAAGAAACTTTATTTCAGAAAACTTTTGATTGAAACAATACAACTGTTTTACTTATAAGATAAAAGTTTTAAAATCTTGTAAATACAAAATGGTGCAGACTGGAAAAAACAAAACCAGATGTCTCATTTTAAAAACGTCGAAAATCAGTTCCACCTGATTGAAACAAAATTACGTCGTAAAAACGAATGTATGAACTATTACATCGTCTCTACATTGCAAATTCATTACAACAAATAGATAATTAAGATGACGTTAAAAGAAAGCCCGATATATACTATAGTACCTTAAAATAGAAAAAAATATTTAACTAGGTAAAATATTAAAAACTCATTTTTCTATTTACACTTTAAATTTAAATTGTACAAGAAGTTAAAAGATTCGACACATCTGAATTGATCTCCACTTGAGATGTAATTACTTTTTTAGTTACGGCGTGACTTGGACCTTTCTTTGCATGGGTTCTCTGCGATTAGGAATTGCAATATAAGATTTTGCAAACAGTTTTCTAAATGTAAAATGGATAAAATTAAATTTACAATTTTTTGTGTGTATAGAAATTGGATTAAAAAGCAATTACTCGGTCTTCTGGATTTTTTTGGACGCTTTGTTGTCACTTTAATAGGTGCAGCTGTGGTTGTCTCAGTGGTAGCTGCTGCTGTGGTTGTCTCAGTGGTAGCTGCTGCTGTGGTTGTCACTGTAATAGGAGAAGCTGTGTTGTTCTCTGTAGTAACGGCAGCCGTTGAAACTTTGAAAACAAATACATTTTAAACTTAAAATTATCCATATATATATATATATATATATATATATATATATATATATATATATATCTATATATATAATTCTCTTCTGGGAGCCGTTAGAAAACAAGCTGCAAGCGCGCGCCTTGCAGTCCCCTCTCTTCCTCTCTATCGCTACCATCCCCCCCCCGACCCCCACCCTCACATGGTCAGGTGAGTTGTAGTTCACGCTGTTTACATTTTACAATCGGAGACCGGGTTTGGTGACGGCTATTAGGGGCAGATAATTCAGTTTGAAACTATTTTAAACTTAAAGGAGGTAACTAAGAGGAAGCTGCTTTCACGGGGGGGGGGGATGGGGGTTTAGTGTTTTAAAGCAAATATTTTCAGTGGCAGCATTGGTACTGTCGAATTCACAAATTATGAATTACTGAAAAGTAGAAAAAACAACTAAATAGCGGTGTAATGAAACACCGCGGGTCGGCTCGTATATATATAATTCTCTTCTTGGAGACGAGAGAAAACACCAAGCTGTAAGCGCGCTCCCTACAACCCCCACCCCTACATGGTCTGGTGAGCTGTGGTTCACGCTAAATATTTACAATCGTAGAGCTTGGTTTAGTGACGGCTATTAGGGGCAGATAATTTAGTTTGAAACGATTTTAAACTTAGGGGAGGTAACTAAGAGGAGTTTACTTTCACGGGGGGGGGGGGGAGGGGTTGGGTAAAGGAAGGGGGGTTATCGTCCTTAACTTCTATTTTTAAAAGATTAAGTAATTAAAAATCATGTCTATATTCCAAGTTATATAAAAATATTCGATAAAGTTTAGGGGGGATCACTCCCGGTTTATTTTAGATGTGAATGATAAAGTTGCCTTTCTGAACTTGGCGGGATACAGGGCAGGTGAAGTAGAGTTCATCTGTTTCTTTGTCCTAAGCATATGAAGTGATAGTGTGGTCAGACCTATGCTCAGACGAAATCGATGTTCTTAAAAGATAAAAAACGTCTTTTTGAATGTGAGGTCTGGTATTTTGAGATGATAAGTGACAGACGTGATGTAATTTATGGATGACCCCCGAAACCCACAGTTAACCAAGAGATGACCGGGTGAGTCTAGTTTGATCTAAAACCTATAAACGCAATCTCGTCAATTTAACTTAAACTCAATTGATCGTGTTCACAGACAGACACATAAACACACAGAGAAATTGCAAAGTCCGGTTGTTCCGACTCCATTAAGTGTAAAACGCGGAGATTTTTAAAATACTGGATTTATATTTTTTGCTCGATTAAAATGATTATAAAGCTTTTAAATTTTTTTTTTCATAAAAACGTTTTAATAACAAGCTTTTATGTACTAATACACAAAAAAGTAGAAAATAAATTATAGACTACTATTTAAATAACTATAAAGAAAAGCGTGGGTCACTTTAGTATCTATTGGATACCTTTACTAATGTTTAGGAAGAGACCCACTCTTTTCTCTAGCCTTTTTACTTTCTCGTATATACAAAGTATAGAGAAAGTATTGTAATCGTGCAAAAAAAAAATCTCGACGTTTTACTTCTCACTGATACGGAAAAACATAATTTTGCAATCTTGTCCGTATGTCTGTGTGTCTGTCTGTGTGTCTGTGTGTGTGTAAACATTATAACTTGAGTACCGTTACAGCTAGGTTGATGAAATTTCATAAATAAGTATTTTATCAAAATCGTAGATCCGTATCAACTTTCGAGCGATTTCCGATAACCGGAAGTGGTACTTTTTCTACTTTGAATTTTTCAAAAGCCTATTACTTGAGTACTATTTCAGATAGATAAATGAAATTTCACATGTAAGTAGAAGAACTAATTCTCTACCTTCTGTCAAATTTTGATTAATATTTTCGTTGACCGGAAGTACTAATTTACGCTATTTCCGATTTCTCAAAAAAACGCATGTAAATTTATAAAGTACTAATAATATTGCGCACTATTATGCACATCTTTATTTGGCGTTCACTTGGTGTGCAATTCTTTTGTCTACGAGATTTTATTCTATTTTTAAAACTTTAAGTATTGAAAATGGATTAAAAATCATGTGCATAGCCCGAGTTCCCATCCCCTGTTATTTTATATAATAATATTCGAGAAAGTTTAGGGGAGATCACTCCCGGTTTATTTACAGTGTCTTGCTGAAATTAAATGCAAACCCAGACCATGTAAATTACGTGAAACACTTTGGCTCTAATTTAACACTAATTAAACAATTACATGTCTAATTTCGTAAATCAAATTTACCTCTGCTTGTGGTGGTTGTTGTTGAAGTCGTAAGACTTGATTGTGTAGTTGTCTCCGCTGAAATAATGTACTTGTTTACGTGTTTGAAATACGTTGCACTACTTAGATATATTCCAATTAGAAAATAAGAATATATTTAACGTTTTAGTATATTCCTGCATGTTAAATGCATACAATGAAATATTTCTGCAGCCTATAATTTTAAAAAAAGGTAAATTCAGTTCATTAACATTATATAACACCTAAAAAAACATTTTTACAGGTTTGAATGCAATGTAATGATTAAATTAGCAAAGGCTAATCTACCTATTGCGATAGCTAAATTCAGCATTACCAAACAGAACTTCAAAAACAATTTTTTTAAACGCCACCAACTATTCCATTGTGTAAAACATCAACACGAATGTTTTCAGGCGAAAATCTACATATAATAAATATTACACCACTACAGACTAGCCCGGAGTGGGAACTAACTGCGGTTAGTAGGGGACAGATACATAGGGGACAGATACAACCAATGTTTAGGTTAGGTTAGGTTAGGTTAGGTTAGGTTAGGTTAGGTTAGGTTAGGTTAGGTTAGGTTAGGTTAGGTTAGGTTAGGTTAGGTTAGGTTAGGTTAGGTTAGGTTAGGTTAGGTTAGGTTACGTTAGGTTAGGTTAGGTTAGGTTAGTTTAGGTCAGGTCAGGTCAGGTCAGGTCAGGTCAGGTCAGGTCAGGTCAGGTCAGGTCAGGTCAGGTCAGGTCAGGTCAGGTCAGGTCAGGTCAGGTCAGGTCAGGTCAGGTTAGGTTAGGTTAGGTTAGGTTAGGTTAGGTTAGGTTAGGTTAGGTTAGGTTAGGTTAGGTTAGGTTAGGTTATTTTAGGTTAGGTTAGGTTAGGTTAGGTTAGGTTAGGTTAGGTTAGGTTAGGTTAGGTTAGGTTAGGTTAGGTTAGGTTAGGTTAGGTTAGGTTAGGTTAGGTTAGGTTAGGTTAGGTTAGGTTAGGTTAGGTTAGGTTAGGTTAGGTTAGGTTAGGTTAGGTTAGGTTAGGTTAGGTTAGGTTAGGTTAGGTTAGGTTAGGTTGTTCTTTTAATTTTTTCTGAATCTTTAGAAATTGTGTTACACGTCACATATTCTCTGCAACTTCTTTATTTATCTCAAATGTGCGTATTATTAAAACCTATTTATTGATATGTATAAAATATGTATTTTATAATACATAAATAATTACACTCACGCATTTTGCAACGAATAAGTGCTTCTGTATTTATTTCAGAGTTAGTGTCAACCACATCACCTGTTAACAGTTTATTTGTGCATTTGCCTGCATTATAAAGATAGTAAACGCATGTCGAATTCGATGCACACTTATTGAAGCATTCCTGCATTAGGAAACAAACAAATACATTAAAAAACATGTAAAATAATAGCTAAGTAATGTTATATCAGAAACATACTTTTGTGAGAATTAAATGAATTCATAGTACACACTTTTATTCGTTCAAGTATTGATCTTGTTAATCAATCGCTCAATATTTTAAAAAGCTTTTAATGTGTTTAGAAATCGACAAGCGTTTATTACACCTTATAAAAAATACCAGTTATAATTATATGAAACAAATTGAATTCTTGTCCAGAATTAAAACTATATTGTGGTTATTTAATAAACGAATAAACTCAATAATCTAATATATAAAGCTCAATTCTTTATGTAACATGTAATAAGTTTGTCGTTGACATACTTTGATGGATTTAAGTGTTAGATTATTATCGTGCTCATAGTCTAAATTTATGAGTTAAAAAATTATTAATGATAGTGTTGGGAAATAATTTTCATTTTTCAAACTGATAGTAATAATTGTCGGCATGTTCATTAAACACAATTTAAAAAAATTATCATCTTTTACAAAAATTCTAATTATGTCTGAAAATTTATTTATATTGAGTCCTTTAGCACTTACTTCCCTTTGAAAAATTAGGAAAACACAATTACTTCCCTTTATAAAACATTGCATTAGTGGAAAAGAATTTACTTTTTATTACTTTGTTTTGGTGTTGGGAAACTTTTTTTTTACATAATTAGCGGGGATTGATCAAGTGCAAATGTTGTAGGTATTTTACGGATAAGCTTGGAGTATTATAATTGTTCATTTGGTTTGGTTTGGCACCTACGTTCGTTTAAGTGAGTGCAAAAGACTATGAATAAGTTGGGGTACTATAGTCGTTTATTAAGCTGAAAAAGGCGATTCTGCCCCGGGCTAGACTGTGAGCACTTTGCGTTTATGTTCGCGTTTGTGTTTTCTTTGTGTTTAGGTTGGGTTTGCGTTAGTGGTTGCGTTTTGATTTGGTTTGTTTTTGTTCGCTCTTTTTTCGTTTTCGTTTGTGTTTTTTTCTTTGGGTTTGTGTTTGTATTTGTGTTTGTCGTTGGTTTTGCGTTTGGATTTGGTTTGTTTTCGTTTGCTTTTTCGTTTGTGTTTTTTTCTTTGGGTTTGTGTTTGTGTTTGTGGTTGGTTTAGCGTTTGGATTTGGTTTGTTTTCGTTTGCTTTTTCGTTTGATTTTTTTCTTTGTGTTCGTATTGGTGTTTGTGGTTGTGGTTGGGTTTGTTGTTAGGTTTTTGTTTTCGTTTGTATTTGTAATTGTGTTAGCGTTATGTTTGCGTTTTGTTGCTTTGGTTGGTTGTGGTTTGGGTGGGCGATGCCGGGTTTATGATGATTACTAAACACACAGGTAACTGTCTTTAACAGAAATGTTTTTCACAGAAGCCAGAGCAGGGCCTGGCCGGGACGGCTAGTCTATATATATAATTGTCTTCTTGGAGACGTTAGAAAACAAGCTGAGCGCGGGCCTAGCAGTTTCCTCTCTTCCTCTCTAGGCATATCGCAACCTCCCCCACCCACACATGGTCTGGTGAGCTGTGGTTCACGCTTAATGTTTACAATCGTACAGCCGGGTTTAGTGACGCCTATTAGGGGCAGATAATTTAGTTTGAAACTATTTTAAACTTAGGGGAGGTAACTAAGAGGAGGCTGCTTTCACGGGGGTGTGGGGGGGGGTGTAGGGTTGGGGGAAAGGAGGGTGGGGAGGGGGTATCGTCCTTAACGAGTTTTAAAGCAAATATTTTCAGTGGCAGCGTTGATACTGTCGAATTCACACATTATGAATGACTGAAAAGTAGAAAATAAAACAACTAAATAGCGGCGAAATAATACGCCGCGGGTCGGCTCGTAAAATATAATGTAGTCCGTCGTTACGATTTTTATCGCATTTCAGAATTCTACTACACCATATCACTGCCGTGTACATTGTTAAATTAACATATTCCACAGCGTGTTCTTCTTCGTTTGCCTGTCACTATGCCATGTAAGAGAACCAAACGATTGTCACTATGCCATGTAAGAGAACCAAACGATGCATCAAATTTCATGAGCTAGCTATCATGTGCAGTCTTTTGTACTGTCCAATATTTCCTGTTATTAAAATAATGAAAATGTTGCAGGATGAACACTTACTTGATTGGTTACTGGGGACACGTCATCAATTGCGGTATAACCAGTGGATGCGACACAGTGCGCTACGTAGAAAGAAGAAAATAAATACAATCTGGTAGTTCTATATTTTCTTAATTATTCGATTGGAGTATTTATCGATTAATAAAATAGAACGTACAAGGGTCATTGGGACAGATTACGAACCCCACCGTGAACACGTTCAGCGCTGGGTTGAGCCGAGTCGACAGGAGTGTAAGTGTGCAGATACCGTTGTAATTGTAGTAGTAGCATTGAGGATTTGTTGCACAGGCTTCAAAACATGCCTGGAAATCAAAATAGAGACAATGGATAATACAGACTCTGTCTCATTTGATTTGCCAGGCTACAATGTAACAATGTTGTGAAACACACAGCTGATACAATGTGTAAACGTTTTCATTGAAAGAAGAATAGAACGGATTACCGTGTGGTTAGCTCCAGGGATGGTCGGAGATGTAAAAGCCATTGTACCATAGACTGCACAGTTATCTAAAAGTAGTTTTTTTAATTTATTATCTATTCGAAATCACACACACACACACACACACACACACGGACAAGAATGCATTTTTCAAAGGTGGAATTGGGCCTCATAAGACGAAAGCGGGTGTTAAACATATCAAATTTTCTAGTTGTGTCTAGTCAATTGTCAATTGTATATAAACCATTGTTTGACTGGTCTATCACATTTAGGAAATTACTTGCATTTCTTGGTTGTGTCTCCTACTTTAAATCTGATGTAATAATCTGCTTTGTAATCTCTAAATTAAAATGCATTGTCTAGAAATAAAAATCAAGATAGAATTCTGTTTGTGATTTACCATAACTATACATATAAATATAAATAAGTAAATATATATATATATATATATATATATATATATATATATATATATATATATATATATATATATATATATATATATATATATATATATATATATATATATATATATATATATATATATATATATATATATATATATATATATATATATATGGACGGATGGACGGATGGACGGATGGACGGATGGACGGTTGGGTGGATGGATGGGTGGGTGGGTGGATTGGTGGATGGATGAATGGATATCTGGATGGATGGATGGATGGATGGATGGATGGATGGATGGATGGATGGATGAATGGATGGATGGATGGATGGATGGATGGATGGATGGATGGATGGATGGATGGATGGATGGATGGATGGATGGATGGATGGATGGATGGATGGATGGATGGATGGATGGATGGATGGATGGATGGATGGATGGATGGATGGATGGATGGATGGATGGATGGATGGATGGATGGATGGATGGATGGATGGATGGATGGATGGATGGATGGATGGATGGATGGATGGATGGATGGATGGATGGATGGATGGATGGATGGATGGATGGATGGATGGATGGATGGATGGATGGATGGATGGATGGATGGATGGATGGATGGATGGATGGATGGATGGATGGATGGATGGATGGATGGATGGATGGATGGATGGATGGATGGATGGATGGATGGATGGATGGATGGATGGATGGATGGATGGATGGATGGATGGATGGATGGATGGATGGATGGATGGATGGATGGATGGATGGATGGATGGATGGATGGATGGATGGATGGATGGATGGATGGATGGATGGATGGATGGATGGATGGATGGATGGATGGATGGATGGATGGATGGATGGATGGATGGATGGATGGATGGATGGATGGATGGATGGATGGATTTATTGGTAGATTAACCACATTAATTTTAAAAGTTTCAAACAATGGCTTTACTTTGAAGGAATAGTGACCTCACATGATTTTTTTACTTTTTAGTACAATCAATGTCGGCTTTAATACAAAATTAACTACTGGAGAGAATCTGCTCTATGTGTAGAGCTGTAAAATAGTATGTAGGTAGAGAACAATTTTTGTTTTCAGACAGACTGTTAATTACAAATTTATTCAAAGACGTTAATTAATTTATTGATTTTTTCATAGGTACATTAAACACATTAATTTTAAAAGTTTAAAACATTGACTTTACTTTGTGGGAATAGTGACGTCACATGATTTGTTTACATTTTAGTAAAAAAAATGGCGGCTTCAATCCAAGATTAGTTGCCGATTCCGATGTTTAACGCGTTCTTAAACTAATTTTCTGTCGGCTATAATTTTAACAATACGTCCGTTTACTATTTTTATGACGTTTTAACACTATTATTAATGTTTTAACACTTCTTTTTATTTTATTATACAATACATTTCTCTAGATCTAGACCTACAGATCAGCTGTCGAAGGAAGATAATTTTTGAATCTAGATCGAGATCTAGATCTAGATCTAAATCTAGGTATCTAGACTTAAAGTAAAGTCTAGATCTACATCTAGAATCTATTTGAGGCCTTAATTATTTTGTATAAATCTTTGTTTAGCTTCAATGATCATCTATTTCGATAATGCATGGAATCTATCTAGGTTCTAGATCAAGATCTAGACTCAACGTATACTCTCTTAATCTAGAACTAGATTTAGACCTAAATTCTACATCTAGATCCAAAATATAACGTACATTCTATATCTAGAATCTAGAACTAAAATCAAAATATAGTAAACCATTTCAGGCCCTAATAATTTTATATAAATCTATGTTTGCTTAACTATACAACTGGCTAATTTAAGATAATTTTTAATTTGAAATAATTCTAGATCTAATTCTAGGGCTGATTCGCGTAGATTCTTACGCCGCTTAGAAGTAAGATATATAAGTTATTAACTTCTCCAGAGTAAGAGACTAGATATGAAAGAGACTAGTACATTAGGTTACCATGCGAGTGGCATGGGTTCTAGACATGTCAGTGATTTTTTTTTTATTTAGTTTTGAATGATAATGTTGCCTTTGCCTATTGGAATTTAGCATAATACAGGACAGGTGAAGTAGAGTTCACCTGTTACATTTTCCTTTTCATATAAATAAAAGTACTCTATAACTTGGGCTGGTGTCCTTGGACCGTCGCTTCATCAAGGTGTGTGTAGGTGGGCGGAGCTTCCGACGAGTTTGTCAGCGTTGGCTGATATGAGAGTAGTTAAAAGTTCGTGTTGTGGCCCGGTACGCAGAAAGCAAGCGGGTGTGTGTTAAGAGAAGAGAAACACGATTTTGACCGCAAAGGGTGAGAATAATATTTTTTTTACAAGGTCCGGTGACCACTTGACTCTGGCCAGGGTTTACGGCCTGTAGTAAAATAAAATGATGCAGTGTATAATATAATATCATCGTATCTACTGCTCCGTGGCTGATACACGTGCAGGATGAAAGTAGTACAGTAGGTAACTGAAATGTCTACTCAACTGCCACGTGGAATTACATGACGGACAGGAATAGTTTAAGTCAAATAGTTACTCAATTGCCCGTGTGCTAAGACACGGGCAGTGTAAAGTTTACTTAAGTAAATCAGGTAAGTTATCGACTGTTACGTGGACTAAGCCACGATCAGGGTAACAGTGTAAAATATGTAAGTAATAATACAAAACAGCAAGATAAATTAATTTCTTGTGAATTAATTAAAATTTGGACCGAATTAGTAGGTAGTTCTATCCACACGCGTCATCACGGTCGTGTTGGTCGTGAAACGAGGGGGGCTCGGGTTAGGGTTAGGGTCAAAAGCACGTCATCACGTTTAATAGGCGCGCATGTTCATATCATAAATAAAACACAAACTAACAGTACTTACCTTGTGCATTGCATATGCTTAAGAAAAACACAGATGCTGTCAGAAACTCAGAAACTCCAAATGCCATTTTAAACAACTTAGAGGGAATTCTGAAATAAACAATGTTGTACGTATTGCTACAATTTTTAAAGAAATATTTTCTTACGTACTTCATTAAAACCCATGCTAATTATATCTGGTAAATAATCACCATACACAAAAGCCATCCATTTTGAAGCAAACCCCGACAGCATAGAGACTTATGTTTTAAATGTGTTAAAGGTTTCAGAGGGCATACGGATGCTCACATAACTATCGAAAGCTTTACTTATTAATATTCGTGCTTTCGTTTTTTGTCTGTTTCAATCAAACTGAACTTTAGACTCCGAGCTGGTCCTATTAGTTATTATGACTAAAATTTATAACTAAATGCACGTGTCACGGCCTTTTTGTGCTGTCAACTTCATGGCACAAACTCAAGACAAATACCAACCGCATCACTGTTGTGTTATTGCATATTAAGGCCTGATGGATAACACCAAACAACTCTTGTCCTGGTAATTTACACAATTTTATTGATTAAAAGATAAAGCAGCTTCATTACCAAACAACGCCATTTCTTCTTCCCGCTTCCTCTCTACTTCCACTTTCTTTTTTTGCGCATGCGCCTGCCCACAATATTTTTAGATTTATATCGCCTTTTTACACCTCCACTCGAAACATACATTCACCCTACATTTGACTGTTACAGCACGATAAACTGAAATTCCGCGTACTTAGCAAATGATCAGAAGTCGGAGTGGTCGGGTCGGTTAGGCTAATGGTTGCTGCACCGAAAAGCCCCGAGTTCGAGCTCCAGGGAAGAGAGACAACTCCTGCCTTGTAATTTTTTTTTCCTTTGGTTGCACAAAGCAAGTCCAAAAAGAAAAAAAAGGCTGAAATCGGAGTCAATCGTATATTTGGCGGGTAATAAGTGCACACGTGATTCTTAACTGTGTTGGAAGAACGAAGAAGAGGTAAATAATTAAACTGCTTTAATTTAAAAAAAAATGAGTATATTTTTCTCAAGTATAGTTTCTATTTGTTTAGTAATCTCATCAACACATTTCTACTTTTTATGGATATGTACATACTACAGTACCTGAAAAATGTTTTTAATTTCTCTTGTTTTTTATTTGCTTTCTGTCTGTCAGTCCATCTTTCACTATACCTACCTATCTATATCTTTGTCTTTCTCTCTGTCTATATACTATCTATATCACGTATACCGCCATAACGATCTGTATTTTTCTAGAGCCTTTGAAATCAACTAAATATATTTCTCTTAAGGGGATATGCTATGTTTTCTTCTATTTTTTACAGTTTTAGATCTAAAGCCTTTTGAATACTTTAATCATATTTGGCATATAAAAGTAAATATTAAACAGCAAAAAATGGTCGAAAACAATTTTGGTTGTCATGGAAACCCAAAAAACCTCCGCCATTTTGAATTTTTCGATACTTTTAAAAATGCTAAGGCTTTTTTATTTATACATCTATAGCAATCAAATTTAAACTGCTTATATTTCAGTATATATTAAAACATTTGTCACGACAACTTTTGAAATAATTACTAGTAAGAAATTTACAAGGTCTAAAAAATCGTACCCTTTTTAGTATTCAAAAGTTTCAAAATGTGCATATTAATTACCGAATACTTTTTTTTCTATGAAAGCAATCACAATTCCCTCGTGACAAAAGTTGTATTTTTGCATCAAGAACATTTACTGAAAATATGGTTGGCATTGTTTAATAAATAAAAAAGTAGTAGGCTTTTTAGTGTTAAAAACCTGCGAACAGCCAAAAGTAACGAAAACTAGGTCAGGAAAGTACCTTATCTATGTAAACTGCAAAGCCGATTGTAAGCTTTGGGTGTTTCCGAGATGTAGGAAATTAAGTTTATTAAATACATGAGAAATCCAGCTTTCCAATGATGTCAAATACAATATAATGACGGAAATAAAACTTTTCATAGAGAGCTTGTAAGATTGGTAAAAAAAATGATTATTTTTTAATTAATAGGGTCATACAAATCGTAATTCAAACAAATAAAATAGTTTTTTACTCTTTAAAGTTATTATTTTCTTTATACAAAAATGGACAAAGTATCCAAAAGTGCAAGAAACCCATCATGACGAAAAACAAGAAATATCCCTTTTAGACACTTGCTCTACACTTAGGCTGGTAATGCTGGTAAAGATACATGAAGACATTTATTGCATTCTGGTTATTCACTATTAGGGAAAGGGCCTTCAGGTTAATGGCATTATGGCAAATTCCCCTTCCAACCTGATCGTAGACCTATTGTCAGTGGGTTTCATACAGGCTATTATAGTCTCGAATGGTGCATAGAATTACAAGCTTAGAGTACCTGGTTCAAGTTATGAAAACAACAGATACATAATGCGACTATAGAGTAAAGCAAGAGTTGGAAACATATGCCTTCACACAAGTAGACTTACCACAATACTGTCGTGTGCCAGTCTCCAAATGCTCCACAGAGAGGCGCATACGGTTTATATCATACGGTCTCTCAAATCACTGGCCAATCAAATCACTTGGTGAAAATGACGTCGAGCACATTACAAGAAAAGGCGTCTTGACAATAGATTGCGCTTTTTTTCTAAAGTAGGTCACGTAAAAATAAAATAATAAAATAAAACCTGCAATGATTTAATAAATATATAATTTAGATTAAGTGTTAATTACGTGTCTGATTAACTGATTTTATTGTATTAATTATGATGTCTCAATTAATGAGTGATGTGCACATGCCCTTATTTTCAAGTTTAAAAACATACATTTTTATTTTGTGCACTACATTGGAATGATTTACAGGTAGCAAGCTGTGCCCTAGAAAAAAAAACAACAGTGTCTCTTCATTCAGGCTTGATGTTATGCACGCGTCTACACATGTTGGGACTGGGCAGGCTTTTAAAAACATGGATATCCATTATTTAAGGTAAAGGTAAACGAAAGTATACACATACACATATACGTACAAGCACATATAGACTGAGACGTTTATATAAATGTAGATGTAGATGTAGACGTAGATGTACACGTACACGTACACGTACATGTACATGTACACGTACACGTACACGTACAGGTACACGTACACGTACACGTACACGTACACGTACACGTACACGTACACGTACACGTACACGTACACGTACACGTACACGTACACGTACTGTCATAAAAATACACACTCAGTTTTAGTGACCATTGAATTCTTATTGTTGTTTGTTTCCTGATTTTTTGTTTTATAATCTCCTAAACTACCACTATAAATGTAAATCAATAAAGTACACCGCCTTCTATGCATTTTGTATCCATTATTTTCTTGTTCCGCAACTGTTGCTGTGTCCAGCGTTTCATTTCGTGTATCAAGCATGATTCTATTAAGCACTTTGCGAGGTATTAAGTAATTTTAAATACCATGTAGAAAAAATGTTCTTTTAAAAATTTATAACGATTTCTTGTCTGTTCTAAAGCGACGTCATTCAAAAAGCATTTTTTGCTGTCTAAATATTTTCAATGATTCTTAACGCGAGGCTAGCCTAAAATCCGAATCAAGCCTATGTTTCTCTTGACTGCAGTTTCGCATCCACCAGACCGTTAAGTAGACAGTGTGTATCCTAATTTTAGTGCAGGTCGTAATGGTCTATTTAACAGCCATATAAAGAAAAGTTTCTTGGCTTTCTAATAGCGTTTGTCAAGTTATTCATTCGTAACTTGATTTTAAAGCTTTAAATAAAGGACGAAAAGAAATGAACATTAGCTGATACACAGTCTATATTTTAACATATAAGACAGGCGAGGGTCTAGAACCTTAAAACGCATCCCCAACCCACCGTCCCCCCCTCAAACTATGCAACCTCCATTTCTATCGCATGGTGAAATAACGAACATGTCCATTGTCCCTCTCTCCATTACTCCCAAGAATGTGTATATATATATATATATATATATATATATATATATATATGTATATATATATATATATATATATATACAAATATATATATATATATATCTAATATATAAAGCTCAGTTCTGTAACGCATATGTTTGTTTGTCGCTGGTTATCTATGGATTTAAGTGTTAGAAAATTATCGTGCGCATTTGTCTAAATTTATGAGTTAAAAAATTACTACCAAAAGTGTTGGGAAATAATTTTCATTTTTCAAATTATAGTAATAATTGTTGGCATGTTCATTAAACACAAGTTTTAAAAAAATATCATCTTTTACAAAAATTCTAATTATGTCTTTATTTAGTCCTATAGCGCTTACTTCCCTTTGATAAATTAGGCAAAACACAATTACTTCCCTTTATAAAACCATTGCATTAGTTGAAAAGCATTTACTTTTTAATTACTTTGTTTTGGTGTTGGGAAAAAAATAATTACATAATTAGCGGGGATTGATCAAGTGCAAATGTTGTAGCTATTTTACGGATAAGCTTGGAGTATTATAATTGTTCATTAAATTGAAACAGGCGCGTTCGTTTAAGTGAGTGCAAAAACTATGAATAAGTTGGGGTACTATAGTCGTTTATTAAGCTAAAACAGGCGATTCTGCCCCGGGCGTTTATGTTCGCGTTAGTGTTTTCTCTGTGTTTAGGTGGGTTTGCGTTAGTGGTTGCGTTTTGATTTGGTTCGTTTTTGTTCTTTCTTTTTTCGTTTTTGTTTGTGTTTTTTTTTGTTTGGGTTTGTATTTGTGTTTTTGGTTGGTTTTGCGTTTGGATTTGGTTGTTTTCGTTTGCTTTTTCGTTGTTTTTTTTTTTTGGTATTGGTGTTTGTGGTTGGGTTTGTTGTTAGGTTTTTGTTTTCGTTTGCTTTTTTGTTTGTTTTTTCTTTGTGTTTGTATTGGTGTTTGTGGTTGTGGTTGGGTTTGTTGCTAGGTTTTTGTTTCCGTTTGTATTTGTAATTGTGTTCGCGTTATGTTTGCGTTTTGTTGTTTTGGTTTTGGTTGGTCGTGGTTTGGGTGAGCAATGCCGGGTTTATGATGATTACTAAACACACAGGTAATGGTCTTTAACAGAAAGGTTTTTCACAGAAGCCAGAGCAGGGCCTGGCCGGGACGGCTAGTGTATATATATATATATATATATATATATATATATATATATATATATATATATATATATATATATATATATATATATTTATATATATATATCGTTAATTAATTTTTTGATTTATTCATTGGTAGATTAACCACATTAATTTTAAAAGTTTAAAACATAGGCTTTACTTTGAGTGAATAGTGACGTCACTTGATTTGTTTACTTTTTAGTACAATAAATGGCGGCTTCAATACAAGATTTCGTTGCCCATTCAGATCTTTAACGCGTTATACAGCTAATTTTCTGTCGGCTATAACTTTAACAATACGTCCGTTTCCTGTTTTTATTACGTTCCAGCACTTATATCAATTTTCAACTGTCTTTTTTATTTTGTTTTACAATATATTTCTCTAGCTCTACAATCTGTCCAAGAAAGTTATTTAAAGATCTAAATATCAGGTGGCCAAGAAAGTTAACTTATAGATCTAGAATCTAGGTCAAACCAAAGATTAATTAGTTAAAAATACAATCCATTTTAAAATCATAATACATTTTTGAGTTTCTTTATTAAACAACTTTAGTCCTTAAATACTTGATATAAATCTTTGTGATTTATCTATCTAGATCAGTGGTTCCCAACCTTTTTCGAGTGGCGACCCCCTTTTATAAAAATTAAGTGACCCGCGACCCCCCATAGAATTAAAAAGCCGAAATTATTATGGAAATCAATAAGCACTAAAATAAGATTTTTCGGAAGACTTTCAATATGAACTACTCTTGATAACTGTTTTAATACCATGAGTAAAATTGCATACTATTCACTAAACATTCGCGGTTAATTTTTTTTAAGGATTTTTTTTTGTTAACGCTAACATATGTCATGATCATTATCTTAATTTTGTTTTTAATCGAAAAATAGTGTTGAAAATCTATTCTCGAAAAGTCAATCAATTTTACGTTTGGGTATGAATGATGAATACTACACGAAATTGAGTGTGCAGTTTTTTATCTTACGCGGAATCATTCTACAAATCAAAGAATTCATCTTGTAATTCATCGTGAATGCTGGCAACATCGAGAGAAGAAGAGAATGGGTTATGCGTCAATGCAGATTCTTTTTTTTCAGCTCAGAGAAATAGCGCTGCAGTTCGTTTTCAAGAGATTCAAGATGCCCAGAAATTTCTTCTTTCAAAATTTTAATAATCTCACAATTAGATTCATCTACACACTGCAGAGTTTCTCAAATTTACAATATTTCCAAGATTTTTTTTCTTTGCCGATTTTGCTGCTTTGATAAAATGCCCCGAGATAATCATGGAAAGTTATAATATTCGTTCATTTTCCCTGAAGCTTCAGGTTATACTTATGTTGATGTTTGAACACATCTGCTAGGTATGATACTCTCTCCAACCACTCTATGTCGTTTTAAGTATACCAAAAGGTCTTGTTTCCTTTGCATTTCCAAGAACAATTTGATTTCAGATTTCAATTCAAAAACACGATTCACAACAATTCGTTTTTACAGCCAGCGCACTGTAGTGTAGAAGAGCAGAACCTTGTGATCTATATTAATGTTTTTGCTCAGTTCTTTGAAGGCTCCAGATTTTATATAATTTACCACTTATACCAGCAATGGAGTCTTGATGGCGATTGGTGAGGGTAGTGGTTAGGGAGCGAAATCTTTTCTGCTTTCTGAAAGCCCGATTTTGACCTAAACATAGATGGTGCACCATCCGCACAAGCCCTCACAGCTGTTTTAACCCATTTTAATCATCCAATTTAAAAAAAAAAATTATTTTCTCCATGCTATCTTCACAAAAGAGCAACTCTTCTTTGCTATCATCTGTATGAATATAGACAAAGACCAGCAACTGCGAACACGAACTAACGACTGTTGATTTATCAACTTGAAAAGCAAACAATGGTGAAAGCTTAATTTCAATAAAAATTTGTTATTTAACATCTACGGACATGTAAGAATTAACTTCACCATCTTCAACATGCAGCGTTTGATGAGATTCTCTCCTATTGTGTTTTTTTTTTTTTTTTGCTTGGCATTTTCTGTCGCGACTTCATTGTGATGCTTGCACTAATGCTGTGTTTTCTTGGTGAAAACGTTCTGTTCGATCAAGTCTCTGACGTTTGCAACTAGCTTCATACCGACGAAAGAACTCCATATCTTTTTTGGTGTGTTTCGAATGACTCGTCTCAAATTACGTTTTAGTTTTGAAGATTTCATAAACTCGTGACTGAGAACAACTTTGTACAGTACGCTTTGCTCCTTCTCTATTCCCTTTCAGTGATGTTAGTAAAGCCGAATTTAAAAAAATTCTTCTAAATATTTATGTTTTGTTTCAAATTACTAAGGTTTAGTATACCAGTTGGCAACCCCCCAGAAAGCCTTTCGCGACCCCCAGGGGGGTCGCGAACCCCAGGTTGGGAACCCGTGATCTAGATAGATTGTTTGTTTAGCTATGGAATTGGATAATTTAAGATAAA